TAGATTTTGTAATCGATTTTTTATCGATTTTGTAATCGATTTAGTTAACGATTTTGTTATCGATATTTTTATCGATTTTGTTATCGATTTTATTATCGCTTTTGTTATCGATATTTTTTTCTTAGTTTGTGCTTTCGTTTTTGACTTGGATATGCTCTTAACCATACCACGTATTCTACGTTTAAATTTAGCAGGTGTATCTCCGATACAGCCTGCAGACCAAGACGAAGGCGCTGGACTGTTCCTTTTTTGTTGTAGGTGCAAATGAATAGATAGTACATATTAGACAAAATTGAGTAAAATAAAAATAAGCATACAAAAGTGACAATTTGTAAATGTTAACTTTGACAATTTTGATGGACAACAACGGAAATTTTAAGGCGTTTTTGCGGTTAGCTTTGAATTAAACTGATTACGCCAAATTTTAACGTTAGTTATTTCCAAGTCATATATTTATTGGTGTGCTATTTAGGGAATTTTTGGTCATTTTTGAGGTTAGGTTTGTTTGGGCGGTATGCTTTAGAATAAATCATTACACATTGCACAAGACGTTATTACAAATATATGGACAAAATTTCGGACTCGCATATTCATAGGTGAACTTTTTATGGCATTTTTAAGACGCTATTCAGGTTAGATTTATATGTGAGGCATGCTTTAAAATAAATCGATCACGCCATTTTTTTGCATTTTTTTCGATTTATATCCATAAATGTTATGTACGTAAAATTGTGAATCTACATCGACCGGTTACTTAAAAATTTTCCAAAAAATTTATGTGGCTGCACCACTGTGCACCGTTCCAATTATCTTGGTTTGAGTTCGTGAGGCAACCAGTTTGCTTATCAAACATTTTTTCCATTAAACCTCGTACAATTTTAAACATTCCGAACGAGAATTTTAATCAAAGAGTTTCATAAATTTTACCGCGCACAACTTCGACGTCGGCTTAAATTGATTATTTTTTCAAACAGTGCACAAATCGTAACAAAGTTGAAAATTATAAACAAAATTTCCAAAAGTTCAATATTATTTCATAAACTTCCAACCAACTAAACAAATGTACACATTTATGTACGTACAAGTGTTAAAAGATTAAATACGAAACAGAGCAAGTGCACACAAAAGAAGTTTAATATGAAAAGGAGTTGAGTGGATGAGTGAATAAAGCTGTCCAAAGTGTGAGCGAGAGCTAAGAAAACAAGATGAAGGCTTCATGAAGTAAGTGAATTAAATGAAGACCAAAAAAAAAAAAAACATTGCAGAGAAAAATGAGTATGAAGAAGTTTTTACTTGAAAAGCTGGAATACTTGCAAAAAATACAAAAATGGCACACTCTCAGACGTCATTCATCGCTTAACCGCCGATCTGCTTATGAGCGAGTGAAGAGCAGTTTTCGCTTGTCCGAGCGCAGTACAGCGGAATGGCAGAAGTGTCGACAAGCTGCTTGTTTTGTGTGCAGTGTTGAGTTGCCTCTTCTCTCGCAGGCTTTTGTTATTGTTGGCGATGGCATAAGTGATTGTATCATTTGTTGATGCTGTTGCCGGAACGTGAAGTGTGAAATGTGCGGTGCGGGGGCAATAGCTGTGGGATAATGTAGCTTGTAGCCGCTGATGTTGTATTGCGTCGACTGCTGTATAACGGTTATAAAGTAAACAATAAGAAAAAGTAAACAACAACGAAATAATGTGATTGCATAAGTGCGTGTGTATACTGGCATAAGTAAGAAAAGTTGCAAAAAAAAAAAAAAATTCAAAAAATATGAAAACAACTTTCGAAAGAAAGCGAACATTTGTCTGCGGAAGAAGGAAAAGTTGATGAAGACAACATCCGGAAAAACTAAACTGGGCTGTGAATAGTACAAGTGTCTGTATGTATGTAATTGCATAACTCATGTATGGATATACATACATAAATTCCTGTCTAGCTGTAGAAATGTTTGTGTACGCCTTTGCAACAACTACCGGCAAACAAAAGTTGCATGCAGCACAAAAGATTTAACAACAACGGTAAAGTTGCATAAGAAATTTCGTTTGAGTGATGCTCTCATTTCATTTTTGAGACATCAGCGTTCACAGCGTAAGATATAAACTAGAGAAGTCATGGTGATACATATGACAATAGGGAACCCACTGGCATTTCCATAACAGTCTGTTTATACTATGTATGTGAAAACAAATGCTTTTCACTACATTGTCCCCGCATTTGCTCTTCACAAGTTGCTTCTGCATCAAAGGCGATAATGTTGGTTTTCATTTCCTCTCATTTCCCTTAATCGTGTTTTGTTCACCTTTTCTTGTAAGCATTTCTTGATTATCTGGTTTCTTTCTTGTCTCTCGTTTTGGCAGATTTCAGGTGTTCTCTGCAATAGCGAACAAACATATGTGAATGCAATCTTCTTGCGCCTGATTGAATGCATACCTCTTTGTCTGCGAGAATAGTGTTTTTTTCCAGAAATCATTTAAGCTTTTGTTTTGGTGATTTTTCTGTGAAGATTTTCGAAGAACCGCTTATATATAAGTACTATATATGTATGTATGTATATTTACTTTCGCACTCATGTACAATTTTTATACCGGCGTGCACTTGTGCCCAAGGGTATTATAACTTTGTTCACATAACGGTTCTTTGTACCAGCCTAAAGGAATCGAGACAGATATAGACAAATGTATACCAAGATGCTCAAAATGAAAAGAGAAATCGATTAAGCCGTGACTGTGAAACTTGGTCAGCGTACATATTTCTTTTTAGCTATAGACTAAAGGTTTTGAAATTGGATAAAATCGGACAATAACCACGCCTACCTCCCATGTAACGGTAGTTTGCAAAAATACATAAACTGCTGCTTAATTAGTAAACACGAAGCTTACTGATTCAAAATTGATATTTACATGATGAGCCCTTGGGGGAAATGGAAAATGGCTGTGGTCCCGCCCACTAATGGTTGCACCAATTTCTCCCAAAGTTGGCACAGTTGTTGGTCTTTATACAACACAGCTAACAGCTGAAAATTTTTGGAACCGTACAATAACCACGGTCACATCCCATATAACTAAAATTACGTCCACTTCTGATATAAAGGTATATTTTAGAAATACGGAAATTTCGATATTTCGAAATTTAACAAGAATAATAGAATCCCTACATCGTGGAAATTTAAGTACGCTTATTTACTACAAGTTGATAAACACAACAAAATCTTAAAACCAAATAAGATTATTCTCGAAATTTTGAAAATGCCGCCTACTTATGACTATACGAGCATGTCTCATTAAGGCTAACTGAATCGAAACTGTTTGAAATAGGGGTAAAACATCCCGTGCGAAATCATGGGCCAAACATAGTAAAACTACGTTTTTATCTTTGCTCTCTGACGTCAAGACTTGTTTAAAGGACTTTAAAATTTGAAAAATATAGTTACTTAAAAATAATATAAAAAAAAAAAAAAATAGAGCAATGTAGAAAAAATTATGACTATCAAATTAAAGAGAAAATTCAGTAAAATTAAGGCCGCTTAAATTTTTTGATCCATACGGACGATTAGGTATTGAAAATGTCCTTTTAACATTTTATCATTGAATATCCTTGAAATTTTACAATAATTATTTTGGAAAAAAAATCACTGAGCCAATTCCATCTGTCTTCGTTCAATCGTTTCTTTAAAAAGGCTTTGAAATGACGTTACACTATTTTATTCGAGTACGGACAATAATGGGAGCGCACACACAAAACTTAGGGACGCGTTTCCAAACAGATTGGCTGACAATGAACTGCCCGGACGGGAAGGGATATCCAATCCTTTAAAGGGGGTGTAAGAGAAAGTATACTAATACATATCTGCACAGCTATTGAATATGTCTTCTGCTAATTAAAATTTGACCAATAATATTTTTGGCGCTGTAGTAAGCAAAATAGTAAAAGGCTGCACAAAAAAACTATCGCGCGTGCACATTTTATTGAGAAATAAAAGACTTTAATCAAAAAAAGTTAGTTTAACTATTTAAGCAAATTAAAACTGCAGCTAAACTTGAAAGTTACGCGTTTTTTTTTTTTTTTAATTTGCATTTTAGAACTTTTGGAAAAGTTTGCCCCCAGTAAATTGAAAAAATTCACTGATGGAGGAAAAGAATTATAAAAAAAGATACAAAAACAAGGATTAAATAAAAGCCAAATTACCCGATACGCATGACAAGCTGCTTAATTAAAAAGCATGAAGGACAAGAGTTAGTTAAGAAAAAATCAAAGGCTTAACAATAGTCAACAACGAAAACATAAAAATGTAAGGAAATGAGTGGGCAGTCTGCTGCTCCAAGACTTTTGCGCTTACCGCGGCGACGGTCATATAGAAGAAAGAGAAAGCGATTTTATGTAACAGACGCGGTTGTGCGCTTCCCCGAACAGAATGCCAAGAAGACTCTTCTTCAAAGCAGAAAGTCAGCACGCAGTGGCCGCACAGCGTGGCTACTCTTTGTTTATGACATTCTATTTAGCTGCCCTTTGTCCACTTTTGATTTCAATGTTTCCCTTTTTTCTTTGCTTATTTCTGTTTTTTTTTTTTTGTTTTTCAACTAAGTAACAGTTTTTATTTTTCTTCTTGCCACAGTCCAACCCTTCGTGCACTTTGAATCAGTTAGCAAAAGATAAAACTACTTGGCATTGAAGCTGGTCAATGCGGCGTAAAGTGTTTACTACCAACTGCTGCGCTTAGTTAATTTTCTATCTAATTTTAAGCATTGCTCCCTTGTTTTGCTTACTTTTAACTGAATTGTGTAAAAAGTCCTTTTGGCGCGTTAGAGGGGGGAAAAAAGAAAAAATCTTTCTCCAAGTTGCATGCATTCGTTTTGCCTATTTTGGTTTGTTCGCTTGCAACACTTTTAAGTTGTATTCGTTTTTTTTTGTTTTTGTTGCGACCAATCTTTTTTTAGTTTCGCTTTTAATCCTCCAATTTTCTAATTTTCTCCATTTTAAGTTAAGATAGTTAAAATGTTTTTCGTTCTTACCTTACACGTGTAAATGCCTTCGTCCATGCGATTTGCTTTTGTTATACCCAAAATGGCAGTGAAAGTATCTTTTGTTTCCGGTGGTAGAACGGTGGTCCAAATTTCTCTGAAATTAAAGAATAATTTTGTTTTTCAATTGCGTTTTGTAGGCACTGCTTAAATAAAAGAATTTCCTTAGCAATTTTTAGTGATATTATTTACTTGGTTTTTCAAAGACACAACTTAATTAACGCAACTGATTCAGAGGAAATAAATCATTTTCAAGAAGGTCACATTTTCTCTGCTCCTTTTTAACTTTATACCAAGTGCACATTCAGAACTAACTCGAAACCACAACCTTTGCAAAATACTTTTGTTTTGCACCAAAATTGTGATTCTAAATATTTTATTTGTATATGCTTAATAGTTTTTAATGAAAACCTTATAAATATACACTTTTTCGAAGATGGTTGAATACGGTTGAATCAAACAAAATGTACTTAACCTTCTCATGGCCGATGTTGCCTATAGGTAACAATGACATATTGATTTATAAATCTTGTTGGTTGAAATATTTTTTCTAATAGATTGTTTTATGCGACACTTTGGAATTCTGTGCAGGCAAAAGGATGTCTAGCTCGTGCAATCTTATTTGTAACTAGCATTCTGAAATAAATAAAAAAATCAGTATTTTTTGCATTTTTACATTTTGGAATGCAGGGAATTTTTTATATATTTTTTTTTTTTTGTTTACTTAAAGATTGTAATACAATCAATTCGGGCATGAAACGCTTAACACTTGTTTTTTAGAAATATTTTTGAGCAGAGCTGAAACCTATAAAAATCATTTAGCTTGTGTTCCCAAGCCACGATGTAGCAATACAGATTATTTAGTAGAGTAGGATTGTTTTCGATTTAAACGCGAGCTCATTGATCAAGTGACTGGAAAAGGTTGCCTGCCATAAAGAGTTCAAACATAAATGTGAAAGCATTCGCCTTGAAATGCGTGCCAGTTGTAAAAGTGTCTCATTGATGCGATTAGCATAAATTTGTAGAACAAAGCGCCGCTAATAAATCTACAAACATATGTATGTATGTATGTATGCATGTTCACAGATAAGCGAATGCTGAGTCTACTAAAAGCTGACCTACAAATTCACGCAAATCACGAGTGTACTTACTTGCAAATTACATGGTAAATGTGTCATTTATACACACATTTACAGTGATTCAAACAAGTGTTCACATATTGATTTTTTTTTTTTACCAATCACAATGTTCTTCAAATAAAATTTTTTGTTGTTATTTTTTATAAAAATAGTGTTCATGCGTTAACCAAAATCACATACATCAATACTTTATACACACTTCGAAAGAATTAAAAAAAATTTCAACAGTTTTATAGCCCATAAAATTGTAATAAATAAGTGCAAGTTTCAAGCGTTTAAAAAATCACGATAATTTTAAAAAATTTTTTTTGTTGATGGCTTTTGTGTATGTTTTTTTTTTTAAATAAGAACTGCAATCTATAAAAAACTAAATTTTTTAAAACTTAATTTAACTTGAAAAACATTGAGAATAGCTAAAAAAAATTAACATGTGAATGTTTCTTTGAGTCACTGTATGTAAAAATACTTACATATGCTTGCCGTTGTGCTCATGTGTGATTTTGTCACCATTAGCAAGCAACATTGCTAATTACTATTCAAAAACAAAGAGAAAAAGTATGTAGAGCGCTAGTTAGCTATGAACGTGATAATTCATCGTTGTGTGAATGCTTTTGAAATTTACATACAGATTTAAATACATATATGTACATTAGGGCGGTTCAACTTTGCAGCAGATATCAGTTCAAATACCAAAGTTAGTTTACTTTTAGGCCAGATTTTCAATGCCAATTTAAACTTAGATCACATAAACTGCATCCATATTCAAAATTCAAAAATTCAGATAGTCTAATATAAACCTCAAGCTCGCGCGTACCAATACTCATACATACACAAACATATATACGCACATACATATGCGTTTTTAAGTACATTAATAAACATTTAAGCATTTTTTTTGCCGTCATTGTTATTGCGTATAACGGCTGGTGGAATAAAGTCAAAGCGCACTTGAACTACGTGGCAGCATTTTTTGCTTTCATCATTTGCGTGGAAGTTCTCTGATTTATGTATATGCATTTTGTATAATTAGTAGAGAGATAGGCAACTTTTGACAATTTTTTATTTTTTATTGGAACGTTGTCACATGTCGAAAAGTGCATCTCATATTCGAGAGACCGTTTATCTTTTCAAAATAAAAGGTTTAAAAAATCAACACAACACAATTTTTATTTATTTTTATTTATTATTTGACAGACTCTTTGTTTAAAAAATTCATATTTACTGGAATTTACTGGAGCTGGTTGAAAACTTTGCTATTTGCCTACTTACAACGTCATATTAGTAGCCAAGAATGCTTAAAATTAGAAAATTCAATATTCATTCTTAGCCCCTATTCAATTTTAAATAAAAGTTTCTGGCTATACATATACATATATGTATGTATATGTACGCTAACTGTTATGTCGTAGTGTAGCATGCTGACGTAGCGGCCACAAATCTGTAGTAGGCCAGGAGCTGAGTTTCCACTAGAAATAAGAAATTACATTAATGTGCGCATGCTGATAAAAATACACATGCAAGTATGCATATCCCCATATACATATATACATAATACATTTGTAAACGTTGATACTAGAGCTGCTATAGAGCTAGTTTGACTATCGGTAGTCAAGTCCAACGATGTGTGTTACGATAGGCTTCAAGTTCACACACTTACTATAGATAGTTTCGACCCATTTCATATGTTTTTCTCAATCCATTTATTTTCCGTTATCTTGATTTTATAAATTTGTTTATTTTAGCGGCTCACAGTTGCATTTTAGTATCGAGAAATATTGCTAGAAATTCATTCGCCGTGTAAACAGTCAAAAAGCGATTTCAGAAAGTTTCCCTGCAATTCGCCTTTCGGAAATAAAAAACTTTCGATCGAAAGACACTTTATATGCAAGGTGCCACTGCTCATGAAACTGCTTTCTGAAATTTCTCAATTTGACAGTCCTTTGAAATATACTGCATTGCCACGTCTGACACGCTCTTAAGACGGCAATGTAACCTCTGCTATTTACACGCATAAAATAAAAAAATAGCTTTTAGAAATAATGCCATGAACCAACTAAACAAATCACCCAGCACGGCAACCATGTATTTGTAGTTGCATCTGAGAAAAAGAAATAATAGTTGATAACATCCTGGCGAAAAAATGACGTCACTGCAAAAAATGCAGAAATTATTTTTGAAGAAGGCTGCCATCTTTAATTCATCAATTTAACAAACAACTTATATAAAATATGTAAACATGAGTGTCAAAATAATGAGGTTTAAGCAAGCCTTAGTTCTAAAATATTTTTGAAAAGTGTTGCCCATGTTTAGAAATTCAGAGTCAATTTAAATATTTTTTTTTTTTAATATGGGTATCAAACTATGGGAGGTTAAAAAGTTTTACTTGGAAAATTTTGTTGAAAAGGGTTGCCACCCGTTTAGTAACTCAAAATTTAATTTACAATTTGACGAGTTAATTTAAATATTTAAATATGGGTATAAAACGGGGAGAGGGAGGTTAACGTAAGTTCCATTTCCAAAATATTTTTGAAGACGGTTGCCACCAATTAAAAAAATCTAGTTTAATTTTATGAAAAGTCAGATAAAGCGTTACAAAACAGTTGTCAAAATAAAGTAATAAAAGAAAGCCTTTCCTCAAAAATATTTCTGAGCAGGGTTGCTAACTGTTTTAAAAGTCAAATTTAACTTTGTTTAACTTAGGAAGGTTGGGAAGTTTTTACCGCAATGTTTTATTAATTATCGAAATAATAACAATGAATTACATTCATGGCTCTCATTTGAAAGTTGCTCGAGACAGGCTTAACTCAGTGGCATAGTGAATTTCTAAACGCTCAACGAGGTCTCATTTCAGAACGTTCAGCTAATCGACAACCTGATTTTCGGATATTTGGAACAACTTATGTATGAAATTTGATGTGAGTGTTTGTTCGTAGAACTGCTCCCAACTAAAAATGTAGATACATATTTATGTATGCAGAATATTTGCTCGCTTGATTGCCATTCGGTGAAAATTTCACGCTTAATGAAGGCATTACGGTGACTCAACATGCGAATGGATTTCAACTTTACCCCAAACATGATTCTCTCTAACAAACATGCACACACCACATACATACAAACATACATGTTTATTTATGTAAATATGAAGGTCTTATTTGTGCCCAGAACAAGTCATTGATGCCAGGGCTTATATGCAGCTTAACACATGAAAATACATAAAATATGTTGCAGTTCGTTCCGTTGAATTGGGAAATCAAGCGGAATGAAAACATGTAATCAAAAAAATACACTTCATTTATAACGGTGCGCAAATAACTACTTAAGACGGCATTTTTTATTTTTATTTTTGAAATAATAGTAGTATGCATGGAGAAGGGCTACTCTAATGCGAAAGTACAACTAAACCGAGCACTAATATTCACTTTGAACTCGAAACATAAAATTGGATTTATTGCTTATGAACTCTAACGATTCCAACCGACCATTAAGTACGTTTTCAACTAGCTTTCAGATAACATTGACATTGTTTTAGCTTCCTAACAGCAAACTAGGCTAAAAAGCCAAGTGCTGTGCATTGGAAATCCATTAGTGGCACATTTTCGAGAGCCAAACGCAACATCCGATGCATTGGTAGTAATTGCTGGCGGCTTTGATGCGGGTCGCTAACGTCGATTATTGCGACCGGTGTGCAAGTACATGGCATGATAATATATGTATATATTCATAAAATTTTGTTGTTTTTTTCTACAATGTAACCAAAATTTCAGGAAGGGACAGTGAAATATTTGTGGTACATTTAGCCTGAGGGCTCTCAAAACGGCTACTGGAGAGTTAGGAATGGTGAAAGCTAAAACTAAAAGCATCTACTTAAATGCGGTAGTCATTACAAAGAAAGTGAGTGCGAAAAGTCTAGCTATATTAAAAGATGTGCGAGGATGTACATATGTATTAAATTAAA